AGAAATCAACATGAACATGAATCAGAAAAGATAATCCTTGTGGGTATAGACGTGATTATTAGAAGATAAGGTAAGACACATGAAAGATTTTCTCTGATTAAGTCTCCCACAATTTCTATTTATGTTCAACAAGCATGATGTGGACTCAAGGCAGCTCAATTTAGCAAGCTTCTGTTAAGAGACTATAAGGTGATAAGCAATGTATTAGACAACTGGAGATGCAGAAGTGAATAAAATAGTCCCTCCCCACGGGGCCCCCACCTCGTCTTGGGGCAGGTATAAGGGGAGCTCTCAGAAATGCCTGCTCCCATCCCTGAATTCTTGCCTAGACCACCAGCAGTCTGCAGCTATCATCAACCCTCACCATCATCTATGGAGAGGGCTGGTTTTCACCCAGGTGAGGAGATGAGTGGAACTAAAGTAACGCTCTCTGAATATCTTCCTAAAGGCCCAGCTTCCCTGAGGTGGTGGCTCTCCATTCTCTCCTGCGTGCCCCACCCCACCCCTGACATCACCTGGGTCCTGACTATCACCCAGACACTGGGCTCCCTCCCACAATACGGAGATGCTGTCAGCGCTGACACTCAGCAAACGCTTTGTTGAATCTTGGCCGTGTCTTCCAGGTCTCATGTACCCAGAGCCATCTTGGTCAGAAGGTAGCTCTTGTTCTTGAGACAGCAGAACCAGGGGTGATCTGTTCAGGAATATTCTGCGTGTAATGCCCCGGTTCAACTCAAAGAACCGACCTGGTAACGCCAAGAACAAGCTTCAATACTTATCTACCCACACTAAAAAACTGGCAGAAAGTGAGTTTTGTGAGGGTGAGAGATTTTTGGAAAAGAACAACCAAGGAAAGGAACAGTGAGGAAGATAAAGTGCTACAACCTCTAAAGAAATACTAAGGAGCTATTATACAAAGGAAAAATTAATAGTTTCTATGCTCAAGACAGAAATTGAGGGTTTGGGGAGTAATGGTATTAAATAGTTCACTGGGGAGGTATATTTATTATGACTTTGTTACTTTTAATACCCTGGCATATATACCATTCATTTAATTCAGCTAAATATTTAATGCCTATTATATTTCAGGCACTATTCTAGCCCTCAAGATGTATCACTAAGCAAAAGTCCCTAGGTTCAAGAAGGCGTTCCAGGAGGCATGTATTAGATTTTTATCATTTTAAAAGCTAACTGACAAAAGGTAATAAAATAGAGCAGTAATGGACAAAAGAAAGACCAGAAGAAAATGAAAACAGAAAAGCTGACAAATCCAGATGTGAAGGGTAAAAGCTGTCTACATTATTTTTGTTATTTCCTCCATGGAGGGGTGGAGTTTGTTTCTCCTTCTTTTGAATCTGGGCTGGTCTGGAGGTTGTTTTAACCTGTAGAATCTGTGTAAGGGAAGCTGTGCCGGTTGTGGATCTGAAGCTTTGAGAGGGCCTGCCAGGCTCCACTCTTGAGAGTTTAGAAACCTTGAAGAAATTCAACAACACCAGGGAGAGACCATATGGAGAGGCCGCATGGATAGAGAGAGTCCCTGTGGCAACACAGAAAGGAAGGGAGGCCTGGCCAGCCCAGGAGCCATCGTGTAAGTGGGACATCTTGGATGTTCCTGCCAAGACAATTTTGCAGGTGCCTACACCCCCAGCTGACACCAAGTGAAACAGGCCACTTACCTGATCCCAGTCAAACTACAGAACCATGACAGACAATAAATGATTATTTTAAGTCACTAAAGTTTAGGGTGGTGGTTTATTATGCAGCAACTGATGACCAAAACAGAAAGTGATACTTGGAAGTGAGGTCCTGTGTAACAAAACCTTAAAATATGTATGTGATGATTAATTTTAAGTGGTAATTCGCCTCGGCCATGGTATCCAGATATTTGGTCAACACATCTGGTTGTGGTGTGAAGGTATTTTTTAGATTTTAAGTCAGGAGACTCAGGTGTGAAGCACGTTACCCTTCATGATGTGGTGGGCCTCACCCAATCAGTTGAAGGCCTTAAGAGAAAGACTGAGGTCCCAGGAGTAAAAGGGAATCTGCCAGAGACTGCCTTTGGTCACCAGCTGCAACATCAACTCTTCCCTGTCTCCAGGCTCCTGGCCTGTCCAGCAGATTTGGGGCTTGCCAGACTTCACAATGATATAAGCCAATTTCTTAAAATCTCTTTCTACTAATATATTTATATTATGTTATATAAATTTGGTTTCTCTGGAGACCTTTACTACTATACTGTGGCATTAGTACTAGGACTGTGTGACAGGCAGGAGAGGAGAGGTCTAAAGGAGACTGTTAGTGCAGGCAAGGTGGACTTGGGATTGTTGTTAGCAAGTAGAAGAAAGGCAGCCTGTATTATGGCTTGGCAGAAAGTTTGGTAACACTGTCACCTGTCACAACGCAGAGAGCAGAAAATATACCTAATGATCTTACAGGTTTGGTAAAGAGATTTCCAGGCAGAATGTTGAAAGTACCAACTCACTTCTTTTTTTGAATTTGTTTTGTTTTTTGAGACGGAGTCTCGCTTTCTCGCCCAGGCTAGAGAGCAGTGGTACAATCGCGGCTCGCTGCTGGTGCTACCTCTTCTTCCTGCGTTCAAGTGATCTTCCCACCTCAGCCTCCAGAGTAGCTGGGATTACAGGCATGCACGACACCTGGCTAATTTTGTATTTTTAGTAGAGATGGGGTTTCAGCATGTTGGCCCCGCTGGTCTTGTACTCCTGGGGTACTCTTAAGGTGTACTCTTGTACACCTTAAGTAGTACACCTTAAGTGATCCACCCGCCTCAGCCTCCCAAAGTGCTGGGATTACAGGCATAAGCCACAGTGCCTGGCCCAACTCACTTCTTTTAGCTGTGTCTGATAAGGTACAGAAAGAGAGAAAATAATTCTATATATTTTTAAAGCAGAATCAAAAGCAAACATTTCCATGCGAGGACTTGTTGGGTTTGAAAATAAAACTGTCATTCCTAGTCTTTCCAAAGAATATCACAATAAGAAATAGTCTCAAGGCAATGATCGAGTCCAGAGTGCTGCCAGTAAAACATGTTCACAAGGTCAAGATTTCAGGGATGTGGCTCTAAGACTGTGTGTATGTGTGTGTGTATGTGTGTGTGTGTGTGTGTGTGTGTGTGTGAATATTATCTAAAATATATAAAAAGCTCCCACAAGAAGAAATAAATAAGCAGCTCAACAGAAAGTATCAAGTATCTGGACAGGAAAATCACAGAAAAAAATATAAATGGCAAATAAACATATACAAGATGCTTAGACTCACTGATACTGAGGGAACAATTAGATGCTTTTTTTTTTTTTTGAGTAAAAAAGTTGAAAATATTCAGCATTGAAGAGATTGTGGGAAAGCATCCCCTCTGATAGACTGATGATAGGAGAGTAAAATGGCACAACTATTTTGGAGGATATTTGGAATACCTGGAATTTGGAAAAATCAAAACTTAAAATAAGCCTAATTCTCCTTTTTACTCAGCAATTTCATCACTAGAAATCTATCCTACAGAAATACTCCCATATGTACACACAATATATGTATGAAGATTTTCATTACATCATCTTTCTCCCAACTAAGGTGAAAATTTCGTGAGTGAGAACTTTGTCATTCACTCGTGTCATCAGCAGCTAGATCACTGCCTGGAACAGAGTGTGTGCTCAACAGATACTTGTTGGATGAGTGGGATTGAAAAATTGGAGACAAGCTAATTTCCTCTCAATAGGAAATGGTTACATCTAGTTTATGAAATACTATGGGCTGTTAAAAGAAATGAGATAAATCTATATGTATTCACATTGAAAGATCTTCAAGACCAGTGTCCAGTGTTAGTTTCCTTTTTTGTTTTTTTGGCATGAGGTTGCTTTCTGACATTACCATTTCATTTTGGATTTCACTTCATACTTTACAATGCAGCCTGGAGGAACGCCTCAACTTCTAGTTTCTCTCTCCATTAAGTATCTAATTATGTGTAAATAGAACAACTAACGGGACGCTGGGAATCCCAGAAGGCGAACATTTTGCAACCGGAACCGTTGCGTGTGCTCGGAGAGGCGAGGGAGGTCTTTTCCCTCATTTCCTAGGATTGCTTAAATGCGGGATTTTGCTATCACAAGCACACAACCTAAAGTAGCAGCTCCCCCCTTCCCGGCTTGTTCTGTTTTACAAGAAACGAAAATGAGTCCTGCCTGTGAAAGCAAGCCCTGGGAATCACATCTAAAAAGCAGTTCCCTTTAGGAGAGGTTAGTAGCTGGGAGGAAGCATGAGAAAACTAGAAGGTCCCATGTGGTGGTTTTTTTCCAAGGTTTGTACAGACTCACCGAGTTGCTGCGCCTTATCATATAAGTAATGTCTCAGTTTTTAGAAGCTGACATTGTTTTGTTAATTACTTCTCTGGTCACATGTATTTCAGCCCGCGCAAAAAGAATCGGAATGCTGTTTTATGTAAATGAATAAAACTAACTTCCCTGGTTTAGCCCTTCTACACCCTCCTCTCCGACCACAGGCTTTGCAAGCCACAATCAAGTGTCCTCTGCAACCGTCCTGGCACTTTCGGGTCAGAGACAGCGGGCGGAAACCGCAGAAAAAGTTGAAAATGTCAGCGACCCCCTGCGTCTGCGTGTTATTTTCTGTCCCTAAAGCGGTGAAGCGGGGCTGAGCATGTCGAGGGTGGGCTGCAGCCCGGCGAGGGGCTGGGCTCAGGGCACCTTGCCCAGAAGGCAGGCATCGGTGCCAGGTGTTCACCGGCTACGCAGCAGAGCCACCGAGCAGCGCCCCCTTCCCCCCCGTGGGCACGCTCGATGCCAAGGCCAGCTGCTCCTGCAAGCGGCCCGCGGAGCCCCGAGCCCGGGACTCCCTACTCAGCACCACCCGGCGGGCTCTCGGCTGACCCGCCACGGAACATGCCCGGTTCCGGGCGATCTGGGCGGCTCCCCCGCGCGCCAGGACCTGCTGTCCCCGCAGTGCCCACCGGTGCGCATTAGTCGCCAACCCACCTCATCTCAGGATGGATTTCAGTGTACTTGACGCATCGTGCCAGGACGGTCTCGGGAAAGCGGCTGGTTGTGCCCGACCCGCTCCACTGCTGGCGCCACCTCGGGAGGACCACCGCGACCACCACGACCACCACGAGGAGGATCAGGAGGGCCAGGAGACAGACGCCAAGACAGACTTGGGCTCTCCTAGAGAGCCGGCAGCAGAGTTTGTCCCCGGACACCGTGCTGAACTCGGAGTTGGCCATAGGACTCCAGGTGGGGTCGGTTGGGCGAAGATGAGGCCGGCGTGAGGCTAGGCAGCAAGAGAGAGGCTGGCTGGGTTCTGAAACTGCACCTCCCCTTCTCTTTCACTTGCCTTTTCTCTGTTTCCCATCCCACCCCCAACCCCTTGCCTCAGAGTTCAGTGGCTGGTTACACCAATAAGAGTTTAAAACACTAAGGCTCCTGTGCAGTGACCCACCCACTCCACCTCTAGGGAGAAATAGCCACCTTAATCCTCTGCAGATGTGGTAAGAGGGCAGACAGTACATCCTTACACTCCCTCCCCTAACTCCCTTCATCAACGGGGCTTTACACCTGAGCCACATTTGCTTCCTGGAACGCATGAGGGCGGGCTGCCCGCTTCTATACCTGTGTGCACACAATGCCCTCTGCCTGGAAAAGGGTGTCGTACGTCGTCTTCTTAACTCTGACAAATGCCTGGTCAACCACCTTTAAAGACTCAAGACTCAACTTAAGTCTGACTCCTTCTCTCAAGTGGCATCAGTGGCTAAGCCCCGGGTTCAAATTTAGTTCATCTGGGATGACATGGGGCAAGTTACCCAACTCCGTACTTCAGATGTAAAGCCAGGATAGTAGCAGTACCTACTTCATGGGATTGTTACAAGAATTAAGTGAGTCAATATCTAGAATGTGTTTAGCATAGTACCTGGCACATGGTAATCACCCATTAAGTGTAAGTTTTTCCTACCAGCTCCATGGAGTTGCTCAGAGATGCAGTTGTATAGTCCATGAAATGTGTTTGAAGCAGGGTCTGGCACACAGTAATACTGCACTCTGTGGGAGTTTAATAAACAATAAAGTGGCTTTTCTTGCCTCTTCTTTGTTAAGACAACATCTGTGACATTCAAGCAGAGATCTAAGTAATGTGAGCTATCAAGTTACCCAACTCCCTTGGGACAAACATTTCCCAAGCAGAGGAAATGGCAGGTGCAAACACTCTAAAGCAGAAAAGCCCTTGGCCTGTTCGGGAGCAGCAAGGAGGCCAATTGTAGTTAGGCTAGAGCGTTGAGGAAAACAGAACAGAAGTTCAGAAAGTAGCAGGAGGCCAGATCACCCATGGCCCTGTAGGACAGGATGACTTTTTTGGACTGTGTGTTTTATTTATATTTTATCTTTTTTATTGTATTGTATTTTGTTTTAAGTTCTGGGATACATGTGCAGGACGTGCAGGTTTGTTACTTAGGTAAATACGTGCCATGGTGGTTTGCTGAACCTATCAATCCATCACCTAGGTATTAAGCCCCACGTTTTAGCTCTTCTTTCTGATGCTCTCCCTCCCTCCACTCTCCCCAATAGGCCCCAGTGTGTGCTGTTCCCCACCCTGTGTTCATGTGTTCTCATTGTTCAGCTCCCACTTATAAGTGAGAATATGCAGTGCTTGGTTTTCTGTTCCTGTGTTAGTTTGCTGAGGATAATGGCTTCCAGCTTCATCCATGTCCCTGCAAAGGACATGATCTCGTTCCTTTATGTGGCTGCACAGTATTCCCTGGTGTATATGTACCACATTTTCTTTATCCAGTCTGTCATTGATGGGCATTTGGGTTGATTCCATGTCATTGCTATTGTGAATAGTGCTACAATGAACATATGCATGCATGTATCTTTATAAGAGAATGATTTATATTCCTTTGGGTATATACCCAGTAATGGGATTGCTGGGTCAAATGGTATTTCTGGTTCTAGATCTTTAAGGAATCCCCCATACTGTCTTTCACAATGGTTGAACTAATTTACACTCCTACCAATAGTGTAAGTGTCCCTATTTCTCCACAGCCTCACCAGCATCTGTTGTTTATTGACTTTTTAATGATCACCATTCTGACTGGCATGAGATGGTATCTCATTGTGGTTTTGGTTTGCATTTCTCTAATGATCAATGATGTTGAGCTTTTTTTCATATGTTTGTTGGCCGCATAAATGTCTTCTTTTGAGAAATACCTGTTCATGTCCTTTGCCCACTTTTTAATGGGGTTGTTTATTTCTTGTAAATTAAGTTCCTTGTAGATTCTGGATATTAGACCTTTGTCAGATGGATTGTGAAAATGTTCTCCTATGCTGCAGATTGTCTGTTCACTCTGATGATAGTTTGTTTTGGTGTGCAGAAGTTCCTGAGTTTAATTAGATCCCATTTGTCATTTTTGCTTTTGTTACAATTGCTTTTGACATTTTCATTATGAAATCTTTGCTACTGCCTATGTCCCGAATGGTATTGCCTAGATTTTCTTCTAGGGCTTTTATAGTTTTGGGTTTTATATTTTAAATCTTTAATCCATCTTGAGTTAATTTTTGAAAAACATGTAAGGAAAGGGTCCAGTCTCAATTTTCTGCATATAGTTAGCCAGTTTTCCCAGCACCATTTATTAAATAGGAAATCCTTTCCCTATTGCTTGTTTTTGTCAGGTTTGTCAAAGATCAGATGGTTGTAGATGTGAAGTCTTATTTCTGAGATCTCTATTGTGTTTCATTGGTCTGTGTGTCTGTTTTTGTATTTTATTTTTAACCCATTCGTGTGCATTTTATTTTTAACCCATACAAGGTCACCAAATGACTTGATCTGACATACTATTTTAAAGGCTCAATCTGGCTTGATATTGAGAATAAATTGTAGGAGGATAAGGATGGACAACAGTTACAATGGCTGTAATACCAGTAATGAAGGTGGCAAAGAAAAAAAAGATGGATTCTGAATAGAGTTTGAAGGTAGCAGTAGCAGGATTTGCTGATGAATTGGATGTAGCATTTGCAAGAAAGAGATGAGTCAAAGATGATGCCAAGATTTTTTATTTGTGTAACTGACCAAAGGAAGGAAAGCACTGCAATCTCCAGTGATGAGAAAATGGGAGGTGAAGTAGATTTGGTCTTGGGAAGAGGCATGAATCAAGAATTTGGTTTTTGATGTGCTAAGTTTGAGATGTCTATTAGACACCCAACAGGAGGCATCAAGGAGCCACGTGGGTATAAGCTTCTGGAGTTTGAGCAAGGGATTAATGATGGAGACACTAATAAGGGAGGTCTTAGCTATGGACAGTTTTTAAAGCCAAGAGTGTATCTATAAGATCATGTGAAGAGTGTGTGCAGAAACAGAAGAGTTCCAGAGGCTCAGCCATGGGCTACTCCTGTGGCAGAGGTCAGAAAGATGAGAGAGCTTCAGCAAAGAGAACTGGGAAGGATGATCCCTGAGATAAGAGGAAGGGTACCCTGAAAGTTATTGATGATATTGACAAGAGAAATAATTTTAGAGGAATGATGAGGACAAAGCCCACCCACAGTAGGTTTAGGAGACTATGTGAGAAGGTAAGTGGTATCAGTAAGTTAGCTGGAGTTTGTGTGTGTGTGGAGAGCTTTTCTGCAAAATGGAATCAAGAAATAAATCCATAGCTAGAGGATGCTGGGCAGTCAAGTCAGGAGAGAATATTTTGTTCTAAGATGAGATTATCACAGTATGTTTGCAGGATGCTGGGATGACTCAGTAGGCAGGCAACAACTGACAATTGCTCCAGTAATTTCCCTCGACCTGCTGAGCTCAAGCGATCCTCCTGCCTCAGTCTCCTAAGTAGCTGGGACTACAGGAACGTACCACCATGGGCCTGGCTAATTTTATTTATTTATTTATTTATTTATTTATTTATTTATTTATGTAGAGACAGGGTTTCACCATGTTGCCCAGGCTGGTCTTGAACTCCTGGACTCATATATTGGTGATAGGTATCCAAAGCACAGGTGAGAGTGTGGGTAGGAGCTCCACCACCTCATAGAAGAAATTTGGAAAACAGCTTTCAGGGTTGGGAGGTTCATGGATTTGATGATGATGACGTGGATGTACTTTTCTGCTGCTTCTCAGTGAAATGAGAAAAAAAAGTTGTCTTCTGAGAGTTGGTGGGGTGCTGGTAGACCTGGAAGGAGACCAGGAGAGCAAATGGACTGTGGGTTCTCAGGGTATCATCAAGTGGTCAGGAATTTTTTTAAAAGGTCAGTTAGTAGGTTGTGTTCTTTTGCCCAGCCACTCACCACTGTTTAAACAAAAGGGTGAAAGTGAACAGAGTTGGATTTGACAGGGTTGGGATTTGCTGCACGTATTTGTGTTCCAGGGTTGCCATAACAAAGTGCCACAACTGGGTGGCTTCAGCAACAGAAATGTATTGACTCACAGGTCTGGAGGCTAGAAGTACGAGATCAAGCCGTCACCAGGCTGACTTCTTCTGAGGCCTCTCCCGTTGGCTTGTAAGTGGCTGTCTTCTCACTCTGTCTTCACATGGTCTTCCCTGCGAACTCCTCTGTCCAGTTTTCCTGTTTTTATAAGAACACCAGTCGTACTGAATTTGGGCTCACTTTAAAGACCCATTTTAACTTAATTACCTCTTTAAAGCTATTACCCTGTCTTCAAATACAGTCACATTCTAGGGCACTGAGGGTTAGGATTTCAACATATGAATTGGGGGGGTACACCATTCAACCCCTAACACTGGTAAGTATAATGGAGAAGAAAAGGTCAAGGAAGCAGAAACTTTAAGCAAGAATGGGTTTTGTTTTTGGTTTTGGTTTTGGTTTTTGTGAGTTGTTTTGTTTTTGTTTTTTGTTCTTTGTTTTTTGGTTTTTGGTTTGTTTGTTTGTTTGGTTTTGTTTTGTTTTATTGTTTTGAGACAGGGTCTTGCTCTGTAACCCAGGCTCTGGAATGCAGTGCTGAGACCATGGCTCACTGCAGCCTTAACCTCCTGGGCTCAAGCGATCCTCCTGCCTCAGTCTCCCAAGTAGCTGGGGCTACAGGTGTGCACCACCACACCTGTCTAACTTATAGTGTTTTTTTGCAGAGATGGGGTTTTCCCATGTTGCCCAGGCTGTTTTCAAACTCCTGGATTCAAGCCATCCACTCACCTCAAGGATAGGATTTTAATAATGATCCGTGGCATCTAAGACCCACAGAAACTGAAGCAGGGGCAAAAGAAGGGTGAGAGATCACGAAAAGATGAGAGAGCTCATGGCTGGGAGGTCCTGAAGGGACCAAAGAGTTGTTAGAAAAGACAACATTTGCATTCGAGTGCTTTCATAGGCAATGCAGACTCACCCTGTCCAAAACTGAACTGTTAATCTTTCTCTGTCAAACCAGCTCCTCTTCTGGTCCTTTGCATTTCAGTGAAAAGAACCAACATCTCCTGCAGTTACTCAAGCTAGAAGTTTCCCAGTCTTTGACTCTTCCCTCTCCCTCATTCCACGTATCCACATGGACGACAGTTCCTACTGCCTGCAAATTATTCATTAAATATCCATTTCTTCATCTCCACTACCACTACCTTAGTCCAAGAAAAAGTTCACCTCCTTTCTTCCCCAGGAAGAGTTTCCCCAGCATTCTCCCGATTCCACTCTTTCCACCTTCCTCCATGTATTGTCTGTACCACTGGTATAGGCTGGTGGGTTTTTTTTTCCAAGTCACTCCTTCTAAAGACATAACTTTTACAACATAATTCTGACTCCGTCCCCTCTTGCTCTGGACGTGGCAAGCAGCTTGTCATCAGCCCACATCTGCTTCTCCAGCCTCCATGGGCACCTCTGTCCCCAACAGCTCCTATGCTTCTCCACTCCTGCTGGCCTTCTCTCTGCCCCCAGTGAGCCCAAGCTCTCCTCTGCCTCTGGGCCTTCACAGATGCCATGCCTTCACCCTGCTGACTCCCACTGACCCTTCATGTCTCAACTTCAATGAGACATCCTCAGGAAGCCTTTTCTAACCCCACTCACCTCCCAAGATAAGTTCGATCTGCAAATTGTTGTACACTCCTCTCGCTGAATAACATAGATGCCAGCAGATCTCATGAGACAATAC